AGCTTCAAAATTTCCTTCGTGCTAGTAAGAAAAAACAATGGTGTGTGATCTGTTATAACATTAAACCTTGGCCGCCGCCCCTCATCCCAAAAATACTCAGAACTTCCCACAAACCTGTCTTGCCACTAAGACTTCTTTTTCTATCGTGGCATATCTTTTCCCTGTTTTTGTTAAGAAACTTCTAGCATAATTTACTGGCCTATGCTTCCATCTTCCTGGACCTGCAGCAATAATGCCATCCATGGATGACAGACACCAAATTAAGAAGCAGAATCTCAACTCTTTACATTATTACCTCAGACACATGCAAATTGGTATTGGGTAAATCAGATTAGAGGGATGAACACAAAGCTCAAAGCCCAATGTGGGAGAAATGGGTTCCTGTTCCTGGGGCACTGATACCAGGACTGGGGAAGATAGGATCTATATCAATGGGAGGTTCTCCATTTGAACCAGGCTGGGATTGGTATTTTTGCTAACCACATAACGAAGCAAGGAAGACTTTAAACTGAATAATGGTGCACAAGCAATCAATTTTGAGTGGATGGGGTAAATCTAAGTTTACAGTCAAGGGCAAAGAGCAAGGTATTAAAACAGGTAGGAAGGGATAGAGAGTATAATTCTAAGAATCAGCAAACATATAACACTAGAATTTACAAAGCAAAAAAAGTCTATAACTAAGGCTCAGAATCTGACTGCCTTCAGCATCTGAAACAAAACAGATGAACAAGAGTACAGCAAAAATGAATAAGTACAATCTGGTAGCATTACAGAGACATGTTTGCAAGATGACATGGATTCGGACTTAAATCTTGAAAGGTTATTTAGGAATAACAAGGAAAGTAGAAAAAAGAGGGAGTGGTATTCTGTTAGTTCAGGATGGTATTAGCACAACAGAGAAGAATTATCCAAGTTCAGGAAACCAGAATGTGGAAATAGTTTGGGTGGAGATGAGAGAGAGAAAAGGCAAGAAGTCACTTGTGACAGTGGTATAGAGGCCCCCTCACAGTGGGAAAGAGCATAAAAGGAATAAGTACTGAGAACTTGTTTGAAAGGCATGGTGATAATCATGGGAGATTTGAATCTACACACAAATAGGAAAAGCCAGATGAGTACAAGTAACCTAGGTGAGAAGCTCATAGAATGTTTTCAGGATAATTTCGGAGAACACTATGGTCTGGAGTTGAACAGAGAGCAGGCTATATTAGATCAATTACTGTGCAACAGAATAGATTATTTAAATAATGATCCCACAGTGAAAACATTCCTAAGTAGCAGTGACCGTAATATGCGTGAATTTTACATTCAATCTGATGGAGAAAGAAGTGGATCCAGGACTGGTATTTTCAATTTAAATAATGTCATTTATGACAGCATGAAATCAAAGTTGTCTAGAGTGAATTAGCAAATTAGGTTGAAGGATGGGTCAACAGTGATGCAGTGGTAGACATTTATTGGGGATATTTCAAAATATACAAAATAGATACATCCTAACAATAAAAAAAACTTACAAGCGACAGACCACCATTCATGGTTAGCTAGTATGGTATCCAACTTCAGGGCATAAACTTTCCAAAGGCAAGTGGCAAGTCAGAAAAATAAACAACCAAAAAAACCAATAAATGCGGCAAAATTAGAGAAGCCAGAAATATTAACAAAATGAGCACTGGTCCTATAGAAAGTCAGACTGGGGAATTAATAGTGGAAATTTAAAATATAACAGGTGAATCAAACAGGTATTATCATAGAATCCCTACAGCATGGAAGCAAGCCATTCAGTCCATACCAATCCTCTGAATAGCATCCCACCCTGAACCACCCCTACCCCCATAACCCTACATTTCCCATGGCTAATCCACCTAGCTGACATATCCTTGGACATTGTAGGCAATTCAGCATGGCCAATCGACGTAACCTGCGCATCTTTGGAATGTAGGTAGAAACCAGAGCACCAGGAGGAACTCCACACAAGGCTGGAACCAAATCCAGGTCCCTGGCACTGTGAGACAGCAGTGCTAACCACTGAGCCACTGTGCTGCCCCTAGAGTCTACCCAACAAAGAACACAAGCAAAAATCCCAAAAGCAGCAATAAATCTGGAAATGCAAGGGAGGGAGGAACTCAGGAAAACCACAGACCACATAACAGTACAAAGTAAATGATTCAAGTTGTGGGCTGATCCAGAAATGGGGTCACTATTTCAAACTCAGGAGTCATCCATTTGAAACAGAGATTAGCATTTTTTTTTCCCTTTTCAGAGGGTCCTGGTATTTTGGAACTCTCTTCCTGAAAAGATGGTGTAAGCAGAGTCCTTGAAGACGTTTAAAGGTATAAACAGGTAACCTCTTAACCCCTTGACAAAAACTATCAGTGGTTGGTAGGCAGGCACATGGATTTAAGGTTACAATATTATAGGGTCATAGGTCATATTCAAGGACTCTGCTTCCACCACATTTTCAGGAGGATTTCCAAAGACTCACAGCCTTTTGAAAGATAAAAAACAAATCCCTCCAATTTAGTCCAGGAACTGATAGTTTACACATTATATTCTTGAATAGCACAGCCAGCTCAATGGGGCTAAATGTCCTAACCATGGTTTGTATCCACAGGCATTGTGATGCTAACTGCAAGTTGTAATGTCATAGTACTACAGAGGGGTTCAACGAGCTGGATGGCCAATTTGTGATGCAAAGTGATTCCAACAGCATGGGTTCAATTCCTGCACTAGCTGAGGTTACCATGAAGGACTCCCTTTCTCAACTTCTCCCATCAACTGAAGTGTGGTGACCGTTAAGTTAAAACACCACCATCATCACTCTCTCATGGGAACAGCCCTATGGTCAGGTAGGAATATGGCAACTTGACCTTTAATACCACAGAAGTTAACAATTTAATCTTCAAACAAATTTTCTATTGGCATTCCAGCACCACACTATTGGCCTTGTCTCAATAGCTCTCTCTCTCTCTCTCAACAGTCCATTAATTACTGATAGATTCTTTTTTAATGAATTCCCCCACTAGGTGAACCATCCCTCGGAATCGTTGTCACACTTGTTCCAGAGTTGCAGAAGTTCTCCAATTACCTTTGTTTTGAGGATCAGTCATTATTCCTGTGGTTTGCACTATGTGATCTCAAATTTGATCATTCGCTTTAGAAATTAACACTCATTATTTCGTGTTAGGCCTACATCCGACATCCTCCTTAACTCAACAATCATGCTCCTCCCTTGCAAAATCATGCATAAAATTATTATTCATATAGTTAGGCACTGTCCTCTGGATTATTTCCGATACAGATGCTAAATCAGAGTTGTCTGCTGAAGCAATAATAATCGAAAATGGTTGTTGGCATGCTTTGCTTCAGCATGCTTTATGAATTTGGGTCTACAAATTGCCCAGACTCACTTCTTACATTGTGCCTCAGACTCTCTCTGCAAAATTTGACCATATTCTGATTCCGAATCTCAGTGTGCTTTACAAACTGTGCTCCCTCCACAAGGAGTAAATCCTTCTTTACTTGCATTAAATTAGATATTACTTCCTCTAGTTCATCTTATGCAGTGCAATATGCACAATTTTACTGCTGAAATCAATGGACTCCCCTGGTCTCTGCTTCTTCGTTAACTTTAGCACATTCAATGATCAGGTTCTTACTGATATCAAACCTTGCCAAGGCTTCAGAACTTCCTTTTTAAGATGATTAAATGATCATCCAGCCCTTGCCTGGTTAGCATCTATGACGATTCCAGTGGCATAGGGTAAAGTATTGACTTGATTTTTCTGGTCTTTTTGTGTAACCTCAAGACTGTTTGAAACTTGCTGGAAAACTTCCTCCAGTTATGTCACTCCCAGCCCCCTTCGGTGCACACTATCAGCAGCCCCTCCACCTCAAACGCCTTCCCATACCCTACATTTAGCAGCTCCTCCTCTACATCAGCCGTCCAGCAGCCACTGTTCCCAGCCCTAAATCCCTTTCTCACTTTTACACAGCAGATCCTATTCCAAATCCCTGCTCTGGCTCCTAGTGCATTAGAGGTAACAGCGGTCAAAGGGAGGTGACATTTGTAAACAAAAAAAATTAAAAAAGGACAGGATTCTTATCTAAAATTGAAATCCTGTCAAATAGCAAAGATGTCTTATCACTGGATTTATGCAGAGTTATACATAAGCTCAAGTTCGTGAGGATGCAAGTAATGTTTCCTTTAGTTGTTTTGCTGTGTGCAGACTTCCAAGGGTCCACGCATGGCATCGGCTTCCGAAGTGGAAGCCACTCATCAACATATCTATTGAGGCACAACTACACAGTTTAAAGGGAACGTGGGATACAAAATGATCCAGGACAGTTTTGCAAGAGTTGTATCTGGAGGTAACAAAGCTCTGGACAAGATTTTTAAGCAACAGATGGGTTGAGTCAGGTCAATTTATGAAGGTCATTGGTAATGGAAAGGATTATAATGTCAGAAGATCAGCTAGGGTTACACATGAATCTGAAATTACAAACACTCTGGTTCAGCCACAGTCAATAATCAGAAAGGGGGATAGAATCAGCAGTTAGGTAATGAATGAAATGGCAGTGACCAAAGATAATTACTTCAGTAGTTATTATTTATTACTTAACTGGAAGAAACGTTTGTACACCAAATACTGGCTGTTAGTTGACAGTGTAAGAAATTAAATATAATAGACAGGTTGAGATAACTGTGGTGAGAGTGAGCTGGGTATTGTGCATTCAGATGATGTCATAAACAGTCACAGACAAGAAATGGAATGGATACAGATTTATAAAAAAAATTACTTACACTGTGCCAACAGATATTTCTACATGTCACGCTACAGCAACAATCCAATCTTACCATAATTCAGCAGGTCTGCATTCTTCAGAATTTAATTGCATAGTAAATTAAACTTCAAAGTAGTATTTCATAAATTTTGTAAAGGACTCCTAAAAATACTTTACGGTTCAAAATTATTCATTTCTCAAATGCCACACCAGGAACTTACCACTAAATCCCAATTATTCTGCTCGAGCAATGTAATAGCTTCATCAATATTTTCAATTCCAGTGCATGCCTGAAGAGGATGGAAAGTAATGTTTTAAAAGACAAACATTTGTAAGTTTCTCAGGTATAGCAAGTGTAATATTGTACAGTGAAAAGTTATTTGTTTTACCGATTTACACCATTGACCATGATGCATATTTTGAATCATTAAATTTAAAAAGGTGTCGCGGAACAAAGTGCATGAGCTGGAAGACAAAATTGGTAGTGTTGAGAAAATATTTGTTGTTTGAGCTCTTGGCTAAGCTCCAGAGAGGGTTAACATTACATATCTATGTAACAACTGCATGCACACAAAATGTTTATTATTCTTGTGTGGGGAGAGAAGTGGAGAACAGTGATGGTGTATAAACAAATAGTTCACTTGTCAAAATTTAAAATTTAAGGCAATAAAGTCCAATATTATGCAACATAACACTTCCTCATGATTTAACCAGATGTAACTGTTGCTTTTACATATCATGTTTTATATTGTTCTGTATACATTTGAGACAACCAAATAAAATGGGAAATCTATTTATAATCTGTGAAACCCAATGAACTTAGCTGTGTAATTCAATGGTGAAAGCATCAAAACTCCAACAATCAACATTTAATAAAAAAAAAATGACTATTCAATCAAAAATCCAACAATCAACCCAAGCCTGTTTTACCTTATAAAACACAAGAGTACCCTCTAATTAGTTCTATGTAATGCTAGTGGATGCTTACAATTGTCATTTTATTTATTTCCGAACAGGGCTATGGTAAAGCAATCCCCGACTCACACCACAAATTCTGGAATACCTGCACAATTAAAACAGAACTGAAGATACTCAGTTATTGTCCATCAGTACTCCTGATGGCGTATTATATTACAGGCAAAACTACCTTGCCATTTTGAAAGCATTTATCATCCATCTCAGCATCAGCAATACTGGAGATAAATCACGCATCCACATATTTTATAGCTTCAGGACAAAATTGGCAATGCAGATTGTCTCCCAAATATACAAATGGCCAAATTCACTGATCCCACTTAGAACAGGAAGGTGGTGCTATCGAACACCACAGCAATCCTAAACTGGAATACAATAGTGAGAAAATCAAACCTGGGAGCCAATCTGTATGCAGCTATGCAAAGAGTTGCAATGCTTAATAATGTTCTGTAGTGTAATCTTGGTACTACTCCATACAAATCAGGAGAAAAAAAAAAGTTTAGCTGGCATCATGTTCCTTTGTTATTTATCCAAGCACAGTTTCAGTATCACCTTGGACAGGCTTCTCCGCCCGCTCCATTACCTATGGATGCCCTCGTAGATCTATCCCTAACACTGTTCCATTCCCCAGCTGCATGCTGCCCCTCAGCAACATGTAAACAGTTTTCACAACTTTACTTGAAACATTAGGTTAAGACGACATCCAGATTTACCTCACCATCACACCTTGACTCCGCCAGTGTCAATCAATTATCAAAATAATTGAACAGCATTCAGTACAGTGTAAGCCAAAATTTCCTCTAATACTAGCAACACTTTAGTCATTGTTTTCACTCACACAACAAACTCCATTCCCTAGCCACAGACTACATTCCCCTCACTGACAACCTGAGGATGAACCAGACTAATTACAACTCAGTCTCACATTTGGACGTGACACAGGTTTCCCACTACATATCCACTCCTCACTTCTCCAACACTGCTCAATGAAGTCCTTGGTTCAACCCAAAGATTTAATCTCTATTAACAGTGTATTGTTGTATTTCTCCGAATAACAGCAAATTTCTGAAACCAAAATCCAAAGACTTAACCATCTTTTGAGATTGCTTGAATCTAACACCCATCACTTTTCTAGGGGACAGTAGCTACCAGTAAATGTCACTGAACTAGTAATCCAGAGGTCCAAGCTAATTCTCTGAAGACACGGATTCAAATTCCACCATGGCAGCAGACAGAATTTAAATTTGATGAGTTATTCTGGAATTGCAAACCAGTCTCAGTAATGGTGACCATGAAACTACCATCAAATGTCATTATAAAATCCATCCAGCTCACTGATGTTTCTTGGAAGAAAAACTGTCATCTTCACTTGGGCTGGGCATACAGAAATATGCTGACTCAACTGCCCTCTGAAGTGGTCTGGCAAGTCACTCAGTTGAAGGACTGTTAAGGAGGGGCAACTAATGCTGGTTTTGCTGCTGATACCCACAGTAAGATAATTATTTCTTTTTCCATGAAAAAGACAAATGACTCATTTTTCATTATGGTTTAAAAGTGACTAAGAAATATATTTGCCATATATAAATTCACATGGAATACACTACATTGACAAGGTAATGTCTAACTTACACCAAAAGGAATCTAGTACAACACATCAAGCAATATCAGCTTTCCAATCTTAAAATCAGCTCAGAGCATGAATCCAAAAAGTTGACACAGCAAGTAAAACGTAAGAATATGGAAATAAAACAGCAAAATCTGAAGAAACTCAGCATGTCTGGCAGCATCTGTGGAGAGAGGAACAGGATTAACATTCGGAGTCCAGTATGACTCTTCTTCAGAATGGTTCTGTTTGTCTCTCCACAGAGGCTGCCAGACATGAGTTCTTGAATTGCTCCAGCACTTCATGTTTTTATAAAATAAGACAGGAAGCTTTCCTTTGTATAATGTAGTCTAGAATATAAAAACAGGGAGGTTATGCTCAACCTTTACAAAACACAGGCGAGACATCAACTAGAATGCAGTCTACAAATCTGACCACAATTTAGAGAGAGAGAATGAGGCCTTGAAGGATATCAGGCAGGTTTAACAACTGAAATGCTCTGTGCTATGAATCAAGCTATGTCAAGACCACGCAGAAAATGGGAATAATTCTCAGAGCAGAAAAAAAATGGGAGACCTAACAAATACTTACAATCGTAAAACAGTTCTGCTACAGAAGTAGGGAGAAGTGGTTTCCTGTGGCACGTAGGTTGGTAACCACAGGCCACACATTTAAAACACTGACAAGAGAACTAGAAGGGAAACTGAGTTTTCCCCCCATAAAGGGTTATTAAGATCTGAAATGCAATTCCAAGGGGATGGTGCTCGCAGGTTCCATAGGAAGTTTCAAAAGGGAATATACTTTAACAGGACCAAAATGCAGGGTTTTGGGACTAAGTACAGGTGGTTCTGTTTCAGTTGCCTAGACATGAAGCTCTGAAGTTCCCGCTCCAAACATCTGCAACTCCCTAATTCATTTTCCTTCTTTAAAAAGTAAAATCCTCAAAATTGTTGGTCATTAGCTCTAATATCCCCTGATATTGATCTGTCATTTCGCTTTCCAATGCCCAAGATGCTCTGGGACATCTCGGTACAGGAAAAAAACCACAAGCACATGCTGATTTAAATGTCAAAGATCAGGCACAAATAGGACAGGTCTAACACCCGCAATATGTGCAACAGTATTGAATAATCGTATTCCTTTTACCATGCCCTCTCCATTCTATTGTTTACAAGCACCAATCTGGGCCCCTCTTTCTTATGCCATTTCCCTCCCCTTCCCACTTCCCTGCGTCTTAACACACTGTTGCCACTGGTTCCAGAATTCCAGCTGCTTTGTCTGAATTTCTGACCTGCTCGTCACCAGCATACTGGTATCCTGTCTTACCAGGAATTTTACTTGCGTAAATCAAGAATTAAACATCAGGGGACCTTCCAAGTCTGCAAGCCCAAGGATCAGTTAATTCTCGTATAGCTGATAAATTTAATCAACATGAACCCACTGATGATACTTACTTGCTCTGCAAAAGCATTATATACCTCCATATTTTTAGGTAGGTAAAACTAAATTACTCAATAATAAAACTCAAAAAAGGTTCAGCAGAGACATCCACCCACTCACCTCGAGGGCAAAAGCTGGCTTGATACTACGTAACTACAAGGATAACCAAATTGATTACAGACTACTGTCAAAAATGCTTTGAAGTTGAGGACTAGGAGAATTTCCTCTTCTCTTGTACATCTGGTGGAGCACTTTTATTTTCAACTGGTTTGCCCCTACCCTCCCACCTCATTATCAATATCAGAGACATCATGGTTTTGGAGGCCACCACTTGGTTCAAGAGTCCATGACAGCTCTCTATATCACAATTCAGTCAGTCCCATTCCCTGCTCTATCCCTATAGTCCTGCAAATTTATTCCCCTCAAGTACCTATTCAAGTTTCTTTTGAAATTATTAATGATCCACAATTCCATCACCTTCAAAAGCATCAAGTTTCAGATCACCAATACTTGCTGATTTTTAGAAAAAAGGAAATTTCTCACATCTCTCTGCATTTCTTGTCTCAAACTTATATCGATCTCCTCACGTACCTTCAGATATTAGGGACTGCTCATCCCATAAATCAAAGAAAATGGCTGGCACAGATATAATAGACCAACTGGCTTTCTCTTGTACTGGAAAAGTATTTGGCTCTATAATTGACTGACGAAAAAAAGTTACAACTTGTGAAGAAAAGCTGACCATTTGACATTTCACATTCCTTCCAAAACATTAAAGACTTTTCTATCTGAACATGAACATTCACTGATATCACAAATGATGATTTTAAAGAATCAGTAAATCATCAGGTCCAGAAGTACAAGTTATTCACCACTTCATTTGATGCAGGTCACCAATTCACTTTCTGCTCTACATCACCAGTGTTCTCATTTAACAGTTTGTCAAGTATTTAACATTAAAACAGCAGGCATATTAATACTTTATCCCACAGCCTAAATGGTAACATACCTGAATAGATTATTGATTTTGTGATGTGCAACAATTTAGGTTTCAATAAGCTGTTACGTATTTGCTAAAAAAAATGAGCCTATAAGTGGTTTAGATAATAAAACACTAATACATAATAAATCAAGCATAAAACACAGCAAATTTGCCCAAACCATTTGATATGGAATACAAATGCCACTGAAGCTTTCAAGATGGAGGTAGACTTAGCTCATAGGGCTAAAGGGTCACTGGACCCAAAACATGAACTCTGATTTCACCCCACAGATGCTGCCCGATCTGCTGAGCTTATCCAGCAACTTCTGTTTTTGCTTCTGACTTCCAGCGTCCGCAGTTCTTTGGGTTTTTATTTGGTACATTTTATGATTGCTGGAGTTGTTGCTTTCAGTTAATAAATTGTGTGAATTATAAGTAAGAAACAAAGAGTCAGATTCCTTCAAATAAATTAGATTCTTCCACCAAACCCTAGCATTCAAAAATATAACATGTTAAACGTAACTTTTTTTAAATAAATACATATAGCAAAGGATAAAATCAGCTACATCGTCCTATCCTATATTTAACACCCGCAACATGTGGTCAATTATTTACATGACAACCAGATAACTGGTTCACCATTGCCACCATTTAAAATAAAACAAAAGGTAAATGTTCTTGTTCATCCATAGTTCGTTAGACAAGACATGGAAAAAATCTCTGTAAACATCGAATGCACCTGAAAATCGGCAAGAATCATCTCTCGGTCCATGGCCGCCATTCTGCTGCTTTTTTCAATTATGTCCGGCTGTTCAGGACAGACACAGGGAGAGAGGGAGTTCACCTCTCAACAACTTTTCCCTCGTCGGCAACAATCAAAAATACCACTATTTAATGAGCCTTCTCAGCTCTGGACTAAACACTAACTACCGTCTAAAACAACATAATTGAAAATTTTGCCCTACTATTATTCTAAAGGAAATAAGACAATACCCTCGACCCCTGGAAAGAATGAGCGCTTCCACATCACTTTACGGCAACGTCGTTCTCTAATTTTGCTTGTCACGCTGTCGTGAAGAGAAATAAACATCGTCTTTACGGCCGCGTTTGCACGTGACGCAGCTGTCAACTGGTCTCGCAGCCGAGCAGTTTGAGAGGGAGAGGGAACTTTCTCTCTACCAGAACAGAGCAATCTCAACACCCCCGTCCCAGTCCCAGAACAGAGCAATCTCAACACCCCCCTCCCAGTCCCAGAACAGAGCAATCTCAACCCCCACCCCAAACACGGAGCATAGCAATCTCAACCAGCACCCCCAATCGCAGAACATGTGTACCTGATGAAGGGGCTCTGCTCCGAAAGCTTGTGACATCAAATAAACCTGTTGGATTATAACCTAGTGTCATATGATTTTTGACTTTGCCCCTCTCTCCCAGACCGGAGCAATCCCTCCACCAGAATAGAGCTACCTCCTCTGCCAACACAGCAACACTATCCCTCTCCCAGAACAAAGAAAACACCCACACCTCCCAGCATAGAGCAGTCCCCGCCACCATCCCAGGACAGATCAATCCCTTCTCTCAGCATACAGTAATCCCGCCTTCTCTCCCAGCAATCTTCTCCATAGCAGAGGGCAATCCCTTCTCCCAGCACAGAACAATCTCCTCTCCCAGCACAGAGCAATCGCCTCTCCTCTCCCAGCACAGAACAATCTCCACCGTTCCCAACACAGAGCAAGCCCCCTTGTCCCAGCACAGACCCCATTTGCCACCAGCATAGAGTAACAGCTACCCCCCCAACACAGGATAACCATCCCACTCCAAGAACAGAGCCATTCCCCATCTCCCTACACTGAGCAAACTACCCACCCCCAAGCACAGAGCAATTTCTCCTGAATTTCCTGTACCAAAGCAGGAGTTCTGGGCATTTCGCCCTGTTCCCTATCCTAGCACAGGTTGTAGAGTGATTGCTCCACCACTGTCTCTACCAGCGTAGAGATATAAGCAAAAATTGGATAGGTTTGGGTTATTCTCCGTGGAACAAAGGAGGCTGAGGAGAATTTGATTGAGATATACAAAATTTTGAGACACTGGGATAGATTAAATGTGAAGAGTGTATTTACCTTGGCTGAGTGGTCACTGACAGGGATATAGATTTCATAGTTTAGAAGGCTAGCAGACAAGATGTTGGAAAATGGGTATAGGTTGGATGCCTTGTTTTTGGCCAATGTAGATATGATGGATTAAGTGGCCTCTTTGTGTGCTGTACATTTTCTATGATTCTAAACCCTCCTCCATTCTCTCTACCAGTGCAGACCTATCCTTCTGCCATACAACTTTACACAACCCCACTCTTCTCCAACCCTTCTCTCCCTCGTTAATAGTTTCACTGAGGGACAAAAAGAACAAAAGTGAAGTACAGCATAGGAACAGGTCCTCCTGTCCTCCAAGCCTGTGCCAATCATCATGCCCTAACCAATTTAAAAAACAAACCTTCTGCCCTTATTCAGTCTCTATCCCTCCATTCCCTCCCTATTCATGTAACCATCCAGATACCTCTTAAATGTCACCAAAGTTGCAGCTTCCACCACCTCTTCTAGCAGTGCATTCCAGGCTCCTACCACTATCTGCGTGAAAAACTTACCTCACACATCTCCCTTAAACTTTTCCCCTCTCACCTTGAACCTGTGTCCCCTTGTAATTGAAACTTCAACCCTGGGAAAAAGCCTCTGACTATCCACCCTATCTATGCCTCTCATAATTTTGTAGACCTCTGTGCCGCTGTCTTTCCAGTGAAAACAATCCTAGTCTTTTTAACCTTTCCCGATAGCCAATGCCCTCAAGATCGGGCAACATCCTGGTGAACTTTCTCTGCACTGTCTCCAAAGTTTCCATGTCCTTCTGGTAGTGTGGTGACCAAAACTGCACACAATACTCTAAATGCAGCCCTACAAGGGTTTTATATAGCTGCAACATGTTTTGCCAACTCTTGTACTCCAAGACTTGGCCAATGAAGGCAAGCATGCCAAATGCCTTCTTAATCACCTTGGCCACCTGTGTTGCCACTTTTAGGGAACTGTGGACCTGCATGCCTAGATCCATTTATATGTTAATGTTCCTAAGGGTTCTGCCATTTACAATATAATTCACACCTGAATTTGATCCTCCAAAATGCATCAACTCACATTCGTCTAGATTAAACTCTATCTGCCATTTCTGTGCCCGAGTCACCAATCTATCTATATCCTGTTGTATCCTTTCACAATTGTCGGCACTACAAGCAACTCCACCAATCTTTGTGTCATCAGCAAACTTACTAAGCAGACCACCCACATTTTCCTCCAGATCATTTATATATACTACAAACAACAGAGGACCTAAGACTGATCCCTGTGGAACACCACTAGTTACCAGTCTCCATTCTGAAAAACATCCTTCCACCACTACCCTTTGTCTTCTATGACCAAGCCAGTTTAGTATCCATCTAGCCAGCCCACACCAAATCCTATGTGATTTTGGTTTTTGTACCAATCTGCCATGTGGGACTTTATCAAATGCCTTATTAAAATTTATATAAACTTCATCCACAGCCCTTCCCTCATCAACTATCTTTGTCATCTCTTCAAAACATTCAATCAGGTTGGTGAAACATGACCTTCCCCATACAAAACCATGCTGCCTTTCACTAACTAGTCCATTTTCTTCCAAACATGCAAATATTTTGTCCCTCTGTATCTTCTCCAAGAGCTTCCTCACAACAGACATCAGGCCCACTGGCCTATAATTTCCTGGATTATCCCTGCTTCCTTTCTTAAATAAGGGAAACACATTGACTAATCTCCAGTCCTCTGGAACCTTGCCTGTGGACAAAGAGGATGTAAAGATGTAATGCACCAGCTATTTCTTCTGTTGCCTTGTGCAGTTACCTGGGATAGATCCCATCTGGCCCTGGGGACTTGTCGACCTCAATGCAATTTGGGATACCCGAGACTTCCTCCTTCAATATATTGACATTCTCTAGAGTATTCACACATTTATCCCTGATATCAAAATCAGTCATGTCTTTCTCCTTGTTAATATTGATACAAAATACTCATTAAGGGTCTCACCCACTTCATGTGCCTCCACGCATAACTTCCCTCCTTTGTCCTTGAGTGGCCCTACTCTTTCCCTCACTACCCTCTTTCTTCTAATATATGCATAAAAAGCCTTGGCATTCTCCTTGACCCTGTTTGCTACAAACATTTCACGGTCCCTTTTAGCCTTCCTAATTCCACGTTTAAGTTCCTTCCCAATTTTTCTATTCTCCGCAAAGGCTTAGTCAGTTTGTAACTCCCCAGACCTATCGTATGCTTCCTTTTTCTTTTTGACTAAGCTTACAATTTCCCTTGTCATCCATGGTTCCTGAATCCTGCCTTTCCTATTCTTTATTTTTGAAGATACATGCATGTCCCGTACTTTAATCAACTGGTCTTTAAAAGCATCCCATATGCCGGATGTAGATTTGCCCTCAAGTAACTGCTCCCAATCCACATTCCCCAGTTCTTGTCTAATTTGGATGTAATTGGCACTTGCCCAATTAAGCACCCTCACCCAAGGGCCACTCTTGTCCTTGCCCATGACTACTCAAAATCTTATGGAGTTATGGTCACTAAGCCCAAAATGCTCTCCTGCTGAAACATTGATCTCCTGTCCTGGCTCATTTCCTAATACCAAGTCTAGTATGGCCTCATCTCTGGTTGAATTGTCAACTTACCATCTCAAAAAGCCCTCCTGGACACATCTAAAACATTGATCTCCATCCGAGCCCCTGGTTCTAAGGGAGTCCCAGTCAATAAGAGGAAAGTTGAAGTCATCCACCATAACTACCCTGTTTTTTTCACACCTTTCCAGTATCTGACCACATATCTGCTCCTCTGTCCCCAGTGGGCTGTTGGGAGGTATATAGAAAGCTCACAACATTGTGATAGAGGTGTAAAAATCATTATTACTTTTCATTGTACTTTGTCTTGAAATATATAACATTTACTTGTTCTAGTCAATCTGTTTGCAATTATGACAAAAGTGGATTTTGCTTAGTATGAAATTGATGGCTGTATCAATTTTTGCCTTAAATTGTCTTTCCTTGCATATTCCATAATAGAGCATTGTATTTTATCATAAAAGATGCAAATTATTATCAGCTGACTCAGCACATTATATAACTCTTCTCTGAACTTGAAGTGATATTAAAGGTGGCAAATTATTTTCATAGTTTAATTATCCGTAATACTCATGATGAAAGAGATACTATTCTGTAAGCAAATTTTTTGGCATTTTATTAGTTCTATATAGTCATTTCTGCACTGAAAAACTAAGAATTATGACACAAACAATCCAAAAAATTGAATAATAATCATGTTAATCTCAAGGAATTAACAAGAGATATAAAAAAAAATAGTTCTTGCATATTCAATTTCTCATTAACATTTTCTATTAAGAAAATTAGTCTTGGAGTCAAGCTGACAAAGTTGAAAATTGTTTTCAACTTCCATTCAGTAAACTATTATGCATTAGATGTTCCAACTTTCCAAACACAGTACCAATCCTAGTGCAGCAAAATACCCAGTCCTCTGCCTAATGACCTCTGGATGGCACTATAACTTTAACTATCAAAATAAACTACAAGTTTGGCAACAACTTTCCAGATTGCCCTGAATCTAGTTAAAAAAAATTTAATAAAATGGATTTGAAAATGTAAGCTCTAAACCGAGGTGGTTATGCCTTTAAGAGTTCTTGTTAAAATAATGGATCTTAACATTTTAATCATAAAGTTTAGTGAGCAATATTTTATGATATTTCATTACTTTATATTAGACTTCTCACCACCTCCCCCTTCTTCCTGATTTTAATGTAATAATGGACAAAGAACTAAAACATTTTTAGGAACGTGGAAAATATATGAACTCCAACAAGCAAATCAAAACCATTAAATACTTTTTTGCCCTATCTCATCAGTTGAGCAAATTTTTGTTCAATTTTGTCAATACTCTTTAAAATA